ATGCACTCATATTCAGCCAGTAGTAAAATTACCATTATAATAGCCATTATGTGTGGTAATAATTATAAAATATGTTCTGTAATATGCTAATATACAAAAGCAGCACCCTCTCATTCCCGTACGTTTGACGAAGTGCTCGGGATTATCGAAGTTTTATTACTCTCATTCTTTGCTTGTTTTTTAAACGCTATGCTCTTGTGGCCTATTTGGTACGTGATTTATTTCTTCTGTCTGATATATGTATTTGAATGAATAATATGAATGAATTAAGCGATGGATAAGATGGGGTGTGTTGAGGATTAGCCGGTCTGAAGATAATAGAAGCACAATGTAGTGATAATGTTGACAAATTGATGTGAAATATTAAATTATACTCAAATTTATTGGCGGCGCAAGACATGAATTAAATATGCATCATTGATTCCTATTGATATTAATAATATCTTTCGAATTTCAAGTGACGAAGGGTTAAACATATTAATTATTTGAAGCATTTCAACTTGTTCATTTATTATATTGGTCGGACAGCTATATTTGCCAATACATAACGCCTCCATGATAATTTCTTGCGGTTAACAAAAACTTATATATTGCGCATTTACATAGATTGTATAATAAAGTATAATTTGCCCTACAAATATTGTTAACTCTAAGTAATATCATAACTCAGTTTCGTTACTTCGCTATTGTCTTGGAACTAGATCAGTATTGTTGTATTGTTTAACGGTAATATATTAGCTCAAAATTTGAATAGGTTTAAAAGTCTAACTAGAGATATTAAATTTTCGAATTATTTATCAAGCCCTCTTAATTAAATTAGTAAATCGGCGGATTTAACAAATAGACTACTCTTATATAGAAAAACTGCCCCAGTCCTCATAGTAAACGAATTGCGACACGTGCATATGCATGAACCGAACCGTTAAAACTTAGAACTTTTTATTTCAAATTTATAACATACACGTTTTGTATTTGAATCTAATTAAAATTATATTTCGGTACTCATCTAAAAGCTCGATTCGAACTTGACTCAAATCAATATATCCCCTAATAATTTTGCCACTATCAAAGCGCAGACATAATGGAAACAATTGGACCTATCGGTGGCTGAGGAAGGTAATGAAGCCTCCAAAGCGATACCACTAGGTCAAGAATTTTCATGTTTCCTCAAACTCACAGTGATTTCAGAAAAGCAACTTGTCTTCTACGGAATATGGAGCGGCCATATTATACACATATCGAGAAAAATAAAATTCATACAGTCCTCAAGGGGATACAGCGAAGGCAATTGAGCACCATGGACGGAGAAACGTTCCAAATGATCATATTAAGGAAAGATTTGCACTTGCCCTAACATTGAACCTATCCAGAATTGCAAGAAATCAGATCAATGCATCCAGACAGTGGACGATGTGAGATGCAGAGAAAAAGATCAATAACTAACAATAAGCCTAACATTAGCGAGCTGGAAGAGATACTCAAATAACCTCAGACAACAGCAGTGGTTCCGGCAAAACAAAAACGCACAGACACAAGGACCAGAAAATGAACAAACTCCAAAGAAACTTTCGCAGGCCAGAGCAGTTCTCGCAGTAGATGCATGAAAGCAGTGGAAATACGGTAAGCGTTAAGTTAGTTAAGCAAAAATATTGCAATAGTATTAAACTATCGAGCAAAGAAATCAGAGTTCGTCGATGAAAAACTCTATTTCAAATCGTAATTTAGGAACAGTCTTCTATCGAGCAGTTTTTTTTCGAGAGGGTAGGATATAAGGAAGTGTATGCCATAGAACAAATCTCCATAAGATACCCTTTGAAACATGGCACAATCGCTATCAACATGCTATGTTTTATTTCAAAATAAATTTAATTTTCTAATTAAGATTTTGTCTTACAGCTTGAGCCCCTCGGCTGTAGGTGACAGTTTCTATATTACGTTCATATCGGGGATTGTTTCTTTATATAAAAGAGGCAGTCATATCAGTTATTAATAAAATACGTGATTTTCGTTGACCGCAAATGTGAAATATCCAAATAAAAGTTTGCACCAGCCTGAACCAGGTAGAGATTACATAAAGAAGACAAAATTATAGATGTTATAAGTACATTTGATTAAACAGTGTTAAAGCAAGTAATAAATACTCAAGTTTACTGACTTACTCAAGTACCTACTTACCTATATAATATTGGAGGGTATGGTTTGAAATGTACCACATTTACTATAAACAAAAATTATTTTCATATATTATTTCACTTTAATAATCAAGTGTAACGACTTACTATTTCCAAGAAATGTTACTTTAGGATCCTCAAAAACTTGATTTGAAACAAATACATTAAGCACTAGAAACAGGCATTTGCCTTTAACCAAAATTAGTTGCCTCATATCTGAATTTTAGAATGTTGGATAGTAGGGAGAACTCCCATGAACCAATTTTGTCTCAAATATTATTATGCAACTTAGTAATTTTTATGGCCTTAAAAATATCAAAATGTTTGCTTTCACCCTTTATGGCATGCCCGCAATATCTATCTTTTGCTAACATAAATCCCAAATGGATGGATGGTTTCCATAAAATGTGTAATTTGGTTTAGTTTTTCGAAGAGCAATAAACTTGTATAAAAAATGAAACAAAAGTTTCTAATTGAAGTAAGGGCACACTTAGTGATGTGTTGAAAACCCTTTCTTTCATCGGTTTTTATATCTTAATGGAATCTTCAAATTCTCATTCAACGATTCAACAAATTGGGTATTTTATATCGAGTTTTACAGTCATTGCGCGATTTCCTTCCTTTAATAAAGTTACGGTCTTTTCTGAATTTGCAACTTAAAATTTGTTGAAAATTTGTTAAAGAGCCTAAGTGGAAGAAAAACGAATCAGGTGAATTTTTCATCGCTACCTACGCCTCATGCACCTCATGAACACATCAAGTTAACCATTAAGGCGTCCGTAATTAGTAGGTCTCACGCATAATACGAAAGTTATGAATTTGATTATTTTTCTAGTTCTCAGCGTTTGTCTTTATTCGCGCTTTATATGTGAATGTGCCTGTCTGAGCGTACGCAAATAGAAACTGTACAAGTACAATGATGTCTACTCAAAATCATTAAGTGGGTATCCGCAAAGCATACATATTTAAATATGCATACATATTTAAGAAACAAAAATTACTAGAGGTTTCCTAGAGATATCCTAAAAAATTTCCTAAGCGCTAGTCGCTGGATGCTTTTTACACGGGGATACAGTTACCCGACAACTATTACTTTGGATACTCGTTTAACATAGAGTCTTATGGAGCGATATACACAGGGATACTTCTCACAATCAGTTTCGGTCTGCCGTGAATTTCAGTCGCCGGCAATTTTACGACTTCCGGGGCCCGATTTCCTATGGGCCTTTACGGACCTGTTCGTATATGGACTAACTACTTATGAGAACCCCGATACTACTTTACTAGAGGTGTGCGATTCGAATCTTTTTAGTGATTCGTACCACACAGATTCGTATCAAGAAAAGATTCGTTCATTTCGTATCGATGCAATTGACCCACCGGCACCGGTACTCATGATACTAAAACTAACGTGGTGGTACGAAAGACAATCACATGTCCACGTTTATTCCATTTATGATGAAAATGAGTAAGTGAATGAACGAAAGATTGGACATTGTAGCAACTTCCGAGCCAGCAGAGCGGATATTCTCTAAAGGAGGTCTAACAATTGATAAAAAACGGTCAAAAATTAAGTTCAAAATAAAGTGTCACAATTGTTATTCATCAATTTTAATGCAAAACCTGTGCCAGTTTAATTATGTTTGTACTTTTTATTATTTTTCAAAAGTTTCTTTTTAGTTATATCTTATCTGTTGAGTATTATTTTATTTTGTAACACCAAACAATTAATATTTAGCTATCTATTTTGTAATGTTTCATATTTAACATACAATAATAAATATTATTACTATTTTGTAATACTGCATAATAAATATATTTTTAATTTAATTGAAAAAAAAATTCAGTTTATCTCGATTATTTCAGAAAACACGGTTTCCGTCTTCTTATTTTCTATCACGCAATGGCATCAGCCCGAGATCGAGATAGTACCTAGTGGTACTGGAAAGCGATAAGCCGATACAAAATGTACGAATCTCTTTTTTTAGGGATTCGTACCATTCGACTCACTGGAAGGATTCGTATCAATGATCCGCACCATACGAATCCTACTCGTCTCTATAATTTACTGTCTTGCTATAAATCTGCGATGAGTATCCCGCAATGTGAAAGGCATCGGAGATTTGGGTTGCCGGCGACTGGAATTCACGGCAGACCAAAATTTAGTTGCCGAAACTGATTGTGAGAAGTATCCCTGTGTGTATGGTTCCGTAAAGCTCTCTGTTAAACGAGTATCCTAAGCAATAGTTGCGGGGTAACTGTATCCTCGTGCAAGAGCTCTAGTGGAAATGTGGAATCAGCACGTTAAAGAGCCTCCAACGTGTAGGTGGAACGACGTTTAACTAATAATTTCAAGAGTTGCGTTTGATACGCAATGAAATAAATTGAAATATTCAGGTAGCCAACGTAAAGGAAATTGCTCCATTTAATCTATTTTCCGAATTCTTTCATTTTTCCTTTCAACTGTATTCGCTTTTCCAATTTTTCTCGCTTACTGTTCAATGTCCAAATACCTAACTAAGTAGCAATTATAATTCCTGCTAATTCCGAAACTGTAACAATATCCAGAACAACTCGAAAAGCTGCCATCCTGGAAAGCACAATCAATACAAGAAAAAAACTTTCAAAGGCAAACACAATACAAAAACACCTGTACAAAAGGAGAAGAGATAAAAAATTAACATGAGAATCGCGGGGCGGATCCATTCTGCTCGCAAAGCATAACGTGTACATATAATGTTTATAGCTCCACCCATCGTCTTCATTGGTGCTTAGTTTGAAATCGTTAGAACGCATGCTCATTGTGAACTCACCTTGAGCAGGCTAAAATTTACACACACAGTGCGGCAAGTTGTTGGGATTTACACGCAGTTGTTAGTTCCTTGTGGCATTGTGATTTTTTGAACTGCATGTAGTTATTCCTGAATGTTATAATGACTGATGATTTATTATCGTTCTTAAACTAATAAGTAATCGAGCGCGCGCGTTTTGTGAGTTTTCGGTCAGTTTTCTGTTTGGTTTTGATAGTGACAGTGTAAATTACAAGCATCATCATTGATCTGGATCTACAAAGGCAGGCCTCGAACGGCCACTTCATTAGGTATGTGCAGTTTCGTTCTCAGCATGCGTAGGTACCTACTTGGTCGGTCGAGTTTCGTTTTAATCGGATAAAATTAGCTCCTAAGCAACTCAGGCGAGAATGAGAGAGAGATTTCTTGTATTAACCTTCAAGCGCCTCGAAATTCTTCACCGCAAGGAGCCCAAAAATAACTATTTTTAAACGTGTCTTCCAGGTACCTACTATTCTATACGAAAAGTTGCTCTACGCGCTCAATTTTCTTCTCAATTTTTGTTAGTTTTCTATTCAGTATATTCAGTGGATATTGGATGAATTTCGTAGAGTAAAGTAGCCGATTGTGGAATACTGTTTGAAAACGTTAACATTATTATACGCATTGTAGAATATAGATAGAGTGAAGTGTTATAAACTAAAGACCGAAATAATTATAATTATTATAAAAGGAAAACAATGTATGAAAGCCTTTTTAAAAAAGTGCTCGTTTATGGGGGGAACATAAGAATTAATAATAAAATAAAGAAAGTAATTTAGAACAAAATAACTAAGGACAAAAATCACAGATGTATGGGTGTTTTTCGGCACCTGCACATTCTTCGTGTGTCCAGCGAGTATCATTTTGCCTAGCAACTTGAAAAGCATAGGTTCCGTCTTGTTAAACCAAAAAAATGTTTCTCCATTAACAGAATGTACTCTACCAGTTTGGTTTCTAGTTCATGAGTTAAAACGGGTTTTCTTCTCAAAGTTTCTTTTTTAATATTTTATATTTCTTTATCATTCTTGCAGTACCGAAATAATGTAGACCGCGGTCGTTGTAGTGTTTAGTAGCCGCCAAATAGTCCATTACTCTTCTCCATACCGCCATTCTCATGTTTTCTACAGTTCATTTGTGTACTTTCACATGTCTTTTTCTGAAATAGCCAAAATATTAAACATAAGTTCACAATCACTCACTACCCACCTTTACGCTTATACACCCATCTTGCAAAAATTATTATAAATGTAGTCAGAAATGTAGTTGATTTAAACACATGCAAAAATATAGCGATCGTTACAATACTGGCAAATACCTGCCGCGAAATGATCCATGCTCCATGTTGTTGGTAAGGGTGAAACACTTTAGAAAGGCCTTCTGACTAGGCTATTTTCAAATATATGGTAATATCAGTTTTGCCGAAAATGGGGTATTCCACATACGGCCACTTTACTCTACATAATAACGACAACAAAAAATCCTATTATTCTCCCAAGTAGAATTTAGTATGAAGGATACCCGATAGAACGGCGGTTTAGCACGGTTTCCAGATTTCCACCGGACAAGGTTTAACCCTCAGTACGATTCGAAAAGGAATTTCTTGGAAAAATTTATTTTAAAATATCTATAATACCGGACGGATAGAACGCAATAAGCTACTTGAATCAAAAATTTGTTGACAGAGTTACTATTAAAAAGTGGTAATTTCGAAAAAACAATATATACGCGTCATTTAAAACGATTTTAATCGATTAACTGCAAAGGGTCTAGATGGTTTACTATTATACATTTTAGAAGAGTCCCTGCGGCATTTACCCTCTCGTAATAATTTTAGAATAAATATTAAATAGTGTATATTTTCTATTAGAATTTAGCTGCTTATTATTTCTGTAATAAACTATCTATTAAAATTATCGATAGCGTCGTATAAACGAAAGAAGTCGATTGTTATTTGCTGCGTCTTCATAAAAATACTGTCAACATGGATCGTCAGATTATGGAAGAAAGTGAGCCAAAAGTTGAGATCACATCATTTAATGTCCGGCGGACTGTGTTGGTGGTAAAATTATTTTAGGTTTCATCTGCAAACTGATTGAGCGCGTTTCTCTTTTTGCGTATAACATTAATGAACCGTTGATCAACAATCTAATTCGTTGTAAAGCCGTGGGGGATAGTTCTGTTCACAGTGTTGTTCAGTGTTTTAATTCGTGGGATAAATTGTTAAGAAAGCCACCGATGCCTTATAAATTTCTAACAAATAAGAACACTTTTTATTTGTGGAGAAAACGAGAGCAAGTTTATGCTTGCTCGTGGCTCATCACCGCTACATTATAATCTTATCTAACTTTATCCAATCACTTTGTGTGGTGAAGTTTGAATTAATCAGGAATTAAGTTGTTTCAAAGTCGTTCAATTGCCTCAGCACCGCAAAACATTTAAACATACCTGGTATCTGAGATTTTGCAGCAATAACTCTTGTTTTGACCGTCATGATCGCCAAAAGATAGGAATTAGTAATTTTTCTCAATTATATGTTCGTCACATGCTTCAGGCATACAGTTGAACAGATCGCTCTGATTTATTTGGATGCACCTTATAATGCACTCTTATAATTTATATAATACATAAACAAAATACTGCTACTAAATATCGTGTTTGGGGCTGAACTAAATGCAGCGCAATCTGCGTTTAAATTACCGCGTTGTTTTCGCAAGACAAGGGGAAGGCGGAGTGTTGCGCGGGCTTTTGAAGGAGAGCATAGAACAAGCTCTTGTAGTCCAAGTTAAATATCAATTCAGCGGTAGCGCAAACCGGTTGATTATTCAATTCATCGACTTTACTTGTGTGTTTTGCACTTCGCTTTTTTGTCATATGTAACAATGAGAATGCCAAGTATCTAGTATTACCCGTATGGACTTTTGGTCTTACTTACTTCTTGGTCCCAAAATTGTTTGCAACCAAGAAGGGCGAACAGAAGACCTGATGATAACACATGTACCTGTCATTGAACATGTTTCATTCAAAGTCAGCTTTCATGATTACAAAACCTAACGGGGTTCCCTAATTTGGAAATAAAATGAAGCAATTAATGACAGTTTTTCCTACGAAAACGATATTGTTGTTTTAATATATCTGTTTGATATGCTTATTTGCTTTGATAGCTTTTACGGCTTTTCAAATACAACAATTATTTTGTGATGAAACGAATAAAATTAAAAGTAGGAGCCCTGGCCTTGCTATTCCTTATCTACTGTAAATTTTCCACTAGTATTAAATAGTTTAATTATTGTAATGGTGTTTGTAATAATTAAACTAAATAATGCCGCTTTTGTAAACACAATTGGCTCTTTCGAACTGCTTTATCAGATAAGTACCCAAATTAGAAATCAGCCTTATATAAAAGTTACTATAAAATTATATATAAAATTAATTTGTGCAAAAAATATATTTGCAACAGCGCAAAAATATTTGGGGTGTTTTGTGTGTTCGGCAAAATTTTCAAGCATCATATAAATGGTGTAAAAATTAAGATTACATTTTGCAAGTTATCACTTTGAAGTCCCATAATTCCATAAGGAAGGCAAATCATAAATAAACCGCTCCATTTCGAACATGTTCAAGCTAATAGCTGTGAATAGCTAATATTTAGTTGTCTGTTGCTTTATTTTTTAGTAACTCATTTGCTTAGCCTTTCTTGCTAAAAATAATTAGCCTTATGAATGTCTTCTAAAATGCAGGTAATGGTGGATTAATAGACCCCAGTTAAGTGATGCAAAATTAAGAAAATTTCAGCATTTTTACATGAAGGAAACCTTAAAAGTCAAGAAGATTATTTATAGTATCTAAAGTCATAGATTTGGTACACCTATATTTTTGATAATTTTCCTTATTTAAAATGACGATAAACGCCGAGCCGACGGTATAATTCTAGTTGGTTTCTATAGATATACCATGCTTTGAATTTTAAGATGATTTGTTTCCCATATCTGTGGTCCCATTAAGGCTTCCAAGTGTTTCAAATTTTACATAACCGTTATCCTCTTATTTTGATTATTATTATTTATATTAGTTATGAAATTATTCTAGCATAGACACACTCCTAACTCCAAAAGAAATCGGCAAGTTTTTATTCTCCATAAACCTCCTTTTAAAATGTCCAGAATCTTAACTTACATTGACGTAAGTTTAAGCAAGTAACAGTTTTAATGAACTGATAATTAAGGTAGTAGCGTCGTGATAATCTTCTATTTTCAGTAACAAATAGCAACCTATCTTGGCAAAATTAATGCTAGTTTCTTCAGTTTGATGCAATCTGCACGCTCATAATTATTTACATTAAGCAGTAAATTATTAATTTACAATCAACCGTAAACTAATAATCCCAAGTATATTTCAAAATTAAGACGCTCGAATATTTACTAATTTCCCTGCTCTATCGTTTAGCTGAACTTTCAGACTTTTTGAAAGCCTTACAACTTTTGTTCGACTATTGGAAATACCGGGAAAATAGTTGTTGGATGAGTAGTGATTCGTTAACAGCATAAGCAAAGCCTAGTCCGTTTGACGTCCGGATCAAAATGTGTGCTACTCTTGCGGCAAGGCTTTTATAAGTATAAACTTTTTCATTTAACTTCGGGTTCAGGGAGCATCCTTGCACCATACACCAATGTTGTTACTTGTACATGTCGAACATTCGTACAAAGTAGAATAAACACGCGGCTTTTGGTGCAATATTGTAGCCGAAGTAATATTTTTATTAAATTAAGATTAGCTACAAGTATTAAAATTGACGCTTTCACTAAATTTGGGATTGCTTTTTAACTTCATTAATTTTCAGCGTTACTTTTTTGTACCTAATACATTTTTCTGTTCTCACTTTAACTGTTTCGGATGGTTAAAATTAATTCGAACTAAAATAACTACTGTAAATTGACGTATTCATTTGTGTGTGTATTTTTTCGTTACTTTTTATTTTGATTTATTAGGTTCAACAGATTTACTAATATATATTATATTTTGGCTTACGATAAAGGTAAAAATCACAATTATCCTCAGTTAGCCCTGTTGTGTGCCTAGCAGTTGTAATTGCATATTGCTTTATCAGCTTTTTAGTTCGTGCACTCTTAACATACAAGCCGACATGGTGTTATAAGTTCAATGGCCAGTGAAATCACCAAACCTGAACCTGTTAAATATTTAGTGCGATTTTCGTTCACAATTTCGAATTTGACTTTACCGGTTAATAATTCTACAAGCTATAATATTCCCTACTATTTCTAGGAAATATAACTGTTTATAGGCAGCATTAAATATCCAAATCGTGGCTTAAAATGTTGCCTAATAAACAGTAACATTTTTGTCACTTCTTATTGAGGTGTGTATGTATTTTACGTGGTTACCACTCGTTATGACCCGAAGCAAAAATTTAAGTTTGAGTGAATCACCCGGTATATATTACTTTAACATTGGCAACGGTGTTAGGGAGAAAGTCAGAGATGTGGATACAATTGTATGGAGACAGTGTTGACAAAATTTTTTTTAAATTGGAGTGGACTTCCACAAGAGAGGGGTGGATTTGGGTCTCTGAGGGGAAGCCCGTTAGTTAGTTATTGAACTAAATTTTACTATAACAACAATAATTGTCTGGAATTTTCCATACGTATTAATAGTATATGTTTTAGCTAATTTTTATCAAAGCAAAATCTTTTCAACTACAGAATTTAATTATCATTTTTGTTATTATTATTACAGTTATAATAATTGGTATTAGGATCAAGTCTCTGTTTATGCGATATGTTGGAAGGTTGATAGGTTTTTTTCCAACGAATGTCGGGTGAAAGGTAAAAATAGGCAAGGCAGACTCACTGTATATACAGGGTGTTCGCATAATTCGCAGTGGCAATAGTTCATAAGAAAATGGCGAGCAGAAAGAAAGACACATTTACAATATCTTGTATGTTGATTAATTTTTAGTCTTTGATTTTTCATTGAAAAAAAGGTCCCCTATTCAATACACGGTTATCGATTTTAAGCTAAGTTCAAAAACCATAAAACCATAAACCATAAACCGGAACTCCAAACTACCGAAATATCAATTTTTTTCTGCTCGACACTAATAAGCAGGAATATGAACAAACGAATAATAAATAGGCAACACTGGAAAGCAAATACGTAGGGAGTCAAATTTTTTGAAAAAGGGGTAGATTTACCCCGTTCGGGTTAGCATTGACAACATTGGCATCGAGAAATGACATAGTTGGCACTAAAACCTACGATTAATTTGTTCACGTATACAGAGTACCTGTTATTCACGGAACACACAGCTTTTGCTCTTATCAAGTAGTGCGTATCAGTTTCCAGAAAGCGCGCGCGTAGCTATAAAGAATTAACTAGAGTGTGTTATAAGTTATATAGCGAGTATGAAAAACATACTTGACCAGTTTGTGCTCGATTGGGACGTGGATTTCATTAACTCGTTCAACGATGGGTAAGTTTATCACGTTTTATAGTAATTAATCTTTGCTATGAAAATTAGTGGGGATTAAAGCTCTAATGAATATATAAATTGTAAACGTTTAATATTTCATTGTTTCGATTCGTGTATTTGATGAGTCACAGAAAACACGTGCTGGATTTACCTTTTTATTCAACAGAAAAGAACTGTGTCGCATTGTTTTTAAATTGTCTTATTTGATACGTATGTATATATATTTTTAATGCAGCTATTTGAGAAATGGCCTACAACAATTGACCATAGAAAAGTATTAATGAAAATTTAGAATATAATTTCGGTAATATTATGAACGTGTGTTTATTTGAGTGGTTCATCAGTTTCAATATGAAATTTATACGAACTAGTAAATATCAATGTCTAAAATGTGCTTATCATTATTGAGATCTTGCAATTGAAAAATAGCAGAAATGTTAACCACATGGCTCAAAACAATTTTGGTTGGTTAGTGTGTTAATAGTAAAATACACTCAAATGTTCGTTTTTAAAAAAAATTGTAAACAGTAAGAAAATGTGTTTAACTGTGTGAATTTTAAGTTGATCTACACATTTAGTATTTACATTACACATACCTACCTATATTATTTACAAGCGCTAACACGATTTTAATGGCGTTAGTAGATATAACAATGCTTTGCTTTCTATTATAAGTAACGTTGGTAAACTACAATACATTTTGAATACCCATATTTGGTTACATGTGTAACATTAATTTGCTGTAAGTGAACATGAAAGAACGCAATGAGCACCAGGCATTTTTGCTAATTGCTTAATAGTTTTATATTTGGCGCTCATAAGCTATTTATATCAGTATAAAGTTTTGAACAATGTTCTTTTGTCAATTTTATTCAAACCCGTGTCTAATTAAATTAGTGTTTGCAAGTGGATTTACCCTTTTTTGCTTTGTTTTCACTCCCTTTTGCATGGCGAATTCAAACCGAATTTTAAACAGCAAACTTCTGAAACTACAATTTCAGTGGCTTGTGGTATTTATTTACTGATATATGTTATCAGTATATATATAAATATTTGTTATGAAAAAATCAACACTGGCCAATGTAAAATGCAAAACTAGTGGCATATAAAAGAGACGGATTTTTATTGAACTCAAATGATGCAAATCTGATCAGTTATTAAGAGAGAGAGAAATATGTCGTGTTTATCACGTTTACAGCGGACTTAAAGAGAGCAATATATTTAAAAAATAGCCCATTTTACCTTAAATTTAATTAACTTTTACTTAACTTAATAATAGATCGTACATATTACATTTCTACAAGAAACAAGAATATAAAAACATGCTGACATTGGGAAGAAAGTCGGATGATATGCTTTACTGCTAACGTGGTCTAACTGAAGAAGTAAATTACTACGCTTAGGTCTTAAAATTTTCACAAGTGGTTTATGGCTGTTGAACAATGTAATTTCGACAACTTTACAATGCGTAGAAAGCCCACAATTCTCCGAAACCTGGTTAATTACCTCTTGCAATAGACTTACCACCAACTTGTGAATCATAAGCCCAAAGGGAGTTGTCTGGAGGGTCCATTGAAACTGAAACATAATGGTCAAAATAGATGCTCTGGGTTAAATTGGTCAGCGCTTAACATTTAACACCCAGGCTGTAAATTTGTAAACGGAATGTGTTTCTAATTGATTGTGTGGGTAAGAATTTGACTGTAATCCATTAAATATATATATACAGGGTGATTCAAATATACAGGGTGATAAAAATTTTCGAAGATATTAACAGTTTAAAATAGAATTTCAACTTTGTTATTAAACATTATTTTGAAATGGTCCCATGATTGATTAGTAGCCTATTGGAATACTTAAGCATTCGAAAACATAAATTACGATTTTGCTTCAAACTATGAAAATTCAAACCAAAAATAAGCTACCTGACTGTATTAAAGTAATAAGTAATTTTGATTTGTTTTTGAGAGGTTAAAACTTTATCTGGATTTAAGTAACAATCAAGATCAGTAATTAGATTTGATGCTCTTGAGGCCCGTGCTAATAAGCATTGATTTGAAAGTAGCAGTTAAGTGTATTGAAATAATAGGATTTGTTAAATACATGTTGCAAAAATTCACATGAACACACTTCACAAGCAGTTAATATAGTTTTATAAATATTTTTCCAGAGAAAAATTGTTGCGTGTGTCTTGGGGGAAATGAACTATTAAGAATTTTTCACAGACATATTTTCATTATTTGACAGATTTCACCCACACTAGCGGTGGTTTATATTCAAATATTGTTCTGTTTTAATCCACTAATTTAATTTTACTCCGGTTTATAAATCCGTACTTCAAATACAATATATTCATATTTTAAAATCCAATAGCCATTTCTACCTATTATTCTGCGCGCAAATCCCAAATTAAATTTGATGGGTTTTCTTTATAAATTTAAGTCTTTTGATATTCATAAGCAACCCACAAAGGCGTTAAGCCTCAACTGGGAATAAGACAGACGTTATGTTTGCTTTTCATAAAATCGTATTTACACAGCCCCTGTCACTTGCACGGGTGTTATGTTTATTTTCTTGTGTGCTTTAATAAGCGTAGGTTATTCTGCACCGAGTTCTATTACCATTCTACTATTGTTTAAAATCCGTGAGCTTTGTTTACTTGCTTGTCGACATTTTTTTATTATTTAAATGAGCTGGTTGTTAAGTGTTTTTCGAATAGTTATATCTTGAGAATGAGTAATCAGTTCAGTAGTATAACGTTTTTTTAATAAGTGTGAGGCTCTTGTCATTTGGACCTCTCAATATTGAATTTGAATTGAGTTTCTGGGAGTTTTCATTCATGCGTTTTAATAAGATTTCCACAATTTTCGAACAATAAATCAAATACTGTTTAGGAACTTAAAAAAAAACTGGACGTTTGTTTAGATATCTGCTTATCTACTGGTCTGATCAATCAAATTATTAACTAAACTTTTTGGTTTAGGTCGGTCAGTCAAATGTGCGAAGGAGGCTTCAATGCCGCGGAAGGATTCTCCAGAATGGCATCAATGGGAGCCGGTGCCATCGGAATGCATCCAAGTCTTCAAACCCCACAACCTGTTAAAAAACAGGAGGACCATATTAAGCGTCCAATGAACGCTTTTATGGTGTGGTCCAGACTGCAAAGGAGGAAAATTGCACAGGACAATCCAAAGATGCATAATTCCGAAATCTCCAAACGATTAGGTGAGTCAATATTTAATATTGGTTCACGAGGAAAATATCGAGGATAGGTGTTTAGTCAACATTCATTAGTTTATACAGGGTGATTCAAAATTGGCGTCATTCCTTTTAAGGGTAGATACCCTATATAGGGGCTCACTTAGAATGGACGAAAAAAATACGAACATCTTATTTTTCCAAAATTTTAAGAAGATATTAACAGTTGAAGATCGAATTTCAATTTTGTTATTAAGCATTATTTTGAAAAGGTTCCACGTTTGATTGGTATGTTATTGTATGTATGTTCCACGTTTGATTGGAATACTTTAGTATTCTAAAAGAAAAATTACGACCTTTTTGTCAAATTACGAAAATTTTTCATATTAAAAAAGTACCTCCTAAAATTTTTTGATGAAAAGTCAAGGCGGCGATGATGTTTTTGTCATTAACAAATAGTTACAGGTAGACAGCCTTTGTCAATGCCTAATAACAAGCATTTGTCAAACTTTGGCTTATTTTGAAGCTCCTTTCACAAAATGTAAACCAACAGTGAATTTGCGAATATGCGATTAGTTATGGGAAAATGTCACAGTAACATAGCAGAAGCTGTAAGAACTTACACCAACAAAGAGCTATACACTAGACGAGTGGCCCGAAATGGACGCAGATAGTGGACAATCTAAAGGTGCTCGGTTTCCAGACCTAGAAGAACAGGTATTGGAGATTATTGCAGCTGAGCCTTCCAGGAGTACTTGAAGTATTGCACAACAACTGCACTTTCTCGATACACCGGATACTTAATTGTCCCGATAGCTCCCCCGAGGACGTGCCTAAATTCCTACCATGTATGTAATATGCACAGGACACCAGAATACATTAAATCTCTGATCTTCCGAACACGGGTTCAAATTAAGCAGCAGTGAATTAACCGAACACGAGAAGCTGCTCAAAATATGAGCCCAGAGCTCAAAGTGATTGGGACACAAAGAAGTTTGGAGTGAAACGGGCAGGACTTCTTGCTCTTGGGGACACTTATGTTTTAACAACAAAATTGTAGTTTATTTGATCAATAATAGTGATCAATGATACATAACCTTAAACAGGTGGTTTTGGATGGCCCTTGTGACCTATCTAGGTATATCACTCATTTGCCACTCAAGGCGACACGGTTATCCTAACTTTAACGTATGTTATTGTCTCTGCTTCATGTTTATCGATGGCTACCGGAGTTTTTAATAGTTACGAAGGAACAGGTATTTATGTAATGTTAATTATGCAGATTACCTTGAAAAACATTGTTGCCATTCTTCTGATCTAAGTTTTTTGCAAATATCTGAGTTTTTAATAACATTAATTTTTTTTACAATTTTTTCTGTACTCCCGAGACACCTCCAGACAACACCTCGATAGGAGTGACGCCAATTTTGAATCACCCTGTATACGTAATAACGTACATAGCTAAACACTGACCTCGCATCAAAAGTATGTTTTGAGACAAGGTTTAGGGTGGTTAAAGAAAAGAGTTATACGAGTCTGCAGTTATCACCCTGTATACGTAATAACGTACATAGCTAAACACTGACCTCGCATCAAAAGTATGTTTTGAGACAAGGTTTAGGGTGGTTAAAGAAAAGAGTTATACGAGTCTGCAGTTATCACCCTGTATTTCGGTTTTTTCATTTTAAGTAGTTGGGATTATAATGTTTGAGTTGTAGTTAATTGATTGTAATGTACAGAGTGTACGCTTTTGCTACTACTATCAAAAAAATTACATAAGTGTCATTTGTTCAAAATTTCGTTCGCTTAAAAAATGCGGAAAAACACGTGCAATTTCAAATTGACTGTTTATTGTCATAGTTAAAATAGATACAAAAAGTGTTAATAAGCGAACATATCTGTCGCTTAAAGAATAAGTATAAACCGTAAGCTTTGTTAAACCAAAAAATTCAATTTTTTTTAGTCCGTAAAAGGAAAGTTAATATTCTAGAAACTGAGAGATGTCAACATTTTATCTGGCCAGGCATTAAACAATATATTTTAACAGACAAAGAGTTAAAGGAAATACTTGTCACAAGCAAGTAACATAAAACACTAAAAAAACTTTCAAACAAAACCAAAATAGATCACTGTAGCAAAATAATGAGAATTACACATACCTACCTAAAACCGAAAGTAAAATGAGTTTAATTATCGAAAAATTAAAGAATTCAATGTAATCAGCGAGGACGTCGACAACATGGAAGAACACCAGATGAAAATACGGAACACGAGAACACTAATAAAATGCAAACTTCTTAATTTTATTCGTGAATATGTGAGGTTCAAAGTGTAAATGACATAATACATTTGTAGGTTTTATGCAGGGCATTTACCTGAAACGACTGACCACTTTAAACTCGTTTCAAATATTATTCAATTATCTAATTAAATTCCGCAATTTTTGTACATTTTACAGGTTAAAGTGTCTTAGTTGAATTAAATTCAAATCGTACTCAACATCAAATAAGCCGGAATTGAAATATCTACAAACTCTTAAGGTTTGATTGTTATATGTTAGAGTTGGCACCTTCGACCAGACACAATAAATTAACTGAGTTTACAGCTGCTCTAGCTAGTTTATCATCTGCGGAAGATTAAAACTGAGTTTTTCCAAAAATGGTATCATTGCAGGAAAGAAGATTAATTGTGAATTTAGATCTTCTTTGTTCATCCGAAAAGTTTTGACCAAAGAGTGAAATTCAATTAAGTATTTTGTTTTATAATTTTACTTCCTGCAGTTTGTTTAGTACCTACCGAAGTTCTTTTCTTTCAAGTGTGAATCAAGACTATTTTCCGAAAAAACTATTCTAAACTACCCTGTTATTTCACCTATCAGTGCAAATAAACAACAGGACATGATTTTACAACTTTTTATTAGGCTTATAGTCATTGCTATTTGTTTTTTTATCGATGCAATTTTCCCTCACATGATAAAATAAGAGCAGTTTAATTTAATAATTATCGGTTTTGCCTCAATTATCATAAAACATCTCGTAAATTTATTTCGAACTTATTACTACTTTTCTATAATAAGATTCTTTCCTGTACTTCTTCTCTGCTTTAACAGTATTTAAAATCAGAAATTGTTTTACGAATAAAACCCCGTTACTTTGCATCCTCAGCAAAGCCTCACAACCGCACAATAGTGATTGTGTGCCGGAGTAAAATAAAGCAATCAGAAGAGACAATCTCTTAGAAATTATGTAACTTGAAGTATCTATTGCGAAGAGAGAGGACAATGTAAGATGAACAAAGCCACCTAAAGAGACATCTCTTGGGCCATTGTTCCGATTGAATCTGATTGTTCTCCACAAAAGAACAGTTTGAACTGCAAACCTATAGCTAAAATGAAATGTTTGCGATTAACTAAGTTGTCTATTATTTCAAACACAAAAGTTCAACTTCAATTATATCACAATTGAACTTTTGATTGTTGCTTTTTTTAAAACTTTTTCTCGATTTACGGAAGCGCTGCTATAAAACTTATTTTTCTCATGCTAAGTGGTCAAAACCAACAACTGAAAATATTTTTCACCTACATCGATCATCTTCCAGTCTATAGGAACTCAAAAGTAAACAAAGGGTTATCATGTGGCGCCCTTCGACAAACAAAAATATTTGACTTCTAGTTACCTGAATAAAAAGGTCTAATATTTTAGGAAAGCAGTAATAATGACCCAAAACGAAGCATTTGCTCTTGCACAGTAGTTAACATCCTACTGATAATTTGCTGACAATGCTGGAAGTATATTGTAGACTGGCTACTCGTTACAGCTAAGCTAGTTTTTTCACTGTGGAGGAAGTCGATCTATATTTATTTAGAATTATTCCTACGGGTTCAGTCTGTTAATTAGTCAAGTAACTAGTTATCAATAAGAAGCTGTTTAACTGCGTTAAAATCTTTAATGAATGGACCCCTTATTTTTATGCAACTAGACCCGGAATGGTATAATTTCGAGCGAGAAACTAGAAAACGCTTCTTTAAGAATTACTGAGTATTCCATAAGAAAACTGATTTTGCTGTATTTTTGAAATACATAGTACAAGTAGTGTAGCTAAATGGTTTATTATTGAAAAGCCAAGCTTATAAATAACAAACTAAACAAATAAATAAACTTTATTGATAAAATAGCGTTTCCCGGTGGCAAAGTGGACACTAACCGTATCAGCGGTGTTCGGGGACTTCATATAAAAATAACAATTAATAATTATACAACATAAAGTGCCCTATAAATATATAACACTACGCAAAATTATAGCAAATCAACGAAAACATTAAGGAAATTATGACCCCTGACCAACCGTAATATTGTAATTACTACTTCAAATAATATTTGTTCTCGCTTTCATTAAACTTCTGAACTTGTTTAGCGTTATTAGTTCTATTCTTTTTGTTTTGTTAAAACTACAATGAAGCAATTATAGCATTAGCAGTGAGAGTACAAGTATGTTCCATCATTTTGCAAAAACGTACATATTTGCTTTTTTTTCCATGTAATAGTGAGGTACCCTCCGCCCGATGCCAAAAAATAGATTTGTTACATAATTGGTTTGTTTGTGTTTCGTATAGAAAAATAGGTCACCAAATATACGTCAGAAGAAGTTAGGTTGTTAAGGCAAAATGAAAAACTTAGAAAACCATGTAAAACCTTAAAAAGGAAACCTACGCTTAAATCTACTCACTCCAGACCGACACAAACATTGCATCATTTGCATGACAGCTCAAACTAACCAATATTATAATAAGGCATGCATTCTTGCATGTTTTCAACAGCTACTAATAAAGAATAACCTGACTAACACAAGCATGTGCATGATAGTTAAGGMWACTAACCAWGACTAACTSAAACTAACCAAGATTAAAATAAGGCATGCAATCTTGCATGTTTTCAACACCTACTAATAAAGATTAACCTGACTAACACAATCATGTGCATGATAGTTAAGGCTACTAACCAAGACCAACTCAAACTAACCAAGATTAAAATAAGACATGCATTCTTGCATGTTTTCAACAGCTACTAATAAAGACTAACCTGACTAACACAAGCATGTGCATGATAGTTAAGGCTACTAACCAAGACTAACTCAAACTAACCAAGATTAAAATAAGGCAT